GCTTGTAATACTTCGGCCGGAAGGTGACTATATAAAGTTCATATTAATGGGCCTGTAGACAGAGTATGAAATAATGGAGTATGCAACATCTATTCTCTTCACAACCTCATGAGGAAAACGAATCACACAGTGGGAATTCTGAAAAGGAACTCCCAAACAAGATATTAATATTTACTATTAACATTGGATCAATGGAAAAAATATATATGAGGTCATTTGTATGATCTAATATTTTATCCGTTTTATAAATATTTGTTAATATCTCGTTCAGGACAAAGTATCCGAGGTTTCCGTTGCGTAAATCGTTTTCTGCGTAAAGTTTTGAAGATTAGACCTTATCTAGTGGCCTATTATATGTATTCCTTTTCAACTTTCATACATACATATGAGTCGCTCTATAGCACTCCCTGTCACCTCTGTAACTTATCACCTCTAACCATCAAACATGTACTTATGGACTGCTCTGCCCTCAGATATCTCCAATCACAGATCTACTCCCCTACAATCAACAGAAATACAAACCCACTTACATGCGATGAACCCAATATTATTCCCAAAATTCTGAAACTCTTCAACTCTCTTAATTTAAAAATCGTATTTTCGTATACACTCCCATTTTCGAAATTCTCTGTAAAGACGCTAATAGCCTGTGACGCTGAATGTCTCAAAATACACTTACTAACTAACTGACACTCAACGACACCTAACCTCCACTGCCCTCTGTCGAACCATAACCCTTCTGGCATTGAGCACCTTAACATTTCTGCTTCAATCCCATCCCTCCAACCTCAACTTTTCCCTACAACTAGATTGCATTTTGCAAAAAGGAGGATTCCAATGTTGCTAAGATTGTGCAACTAACAATCTTTGTAATAAAATCACTAACATTATGCAAAAAGTTAAATTTCCAAAGGTGATTTTCGTCTTGAATTTATAGTTTATTCTAGGTAAAGATAAATTTTAATCAGATGATCAGTCCATAGTTGCAGGGTTAAAAAGTTTCGCAATCTTAGCAACATTGGAATTCTTGTGGTTCCTTTTTGCAAAATGCAATCCAACTCATCCCTTCAATTTTCAAAATTCTCAAAAATCGTCAATTTCGGTTCTCTGACAACGGTGCATCCCCATTCCTGCTAACGGGGGTGGGGTCCGGTCGCTGGAAGCCACAGCGAGTTGCCGACCGCGAGAGCGGACTGCACAGGCCATTAACTTAGCTCCGGCCGACGAGACGAGCAGGCTACGAGCTCCGTACTGCGACCGCCGAAGTAATTAAAATTGAATCACCCTAATAGATTATTAGTGCACCCGTTGTCCGGTCCTGTCTTCGCTGGACCAAGGCCGAAGAAAGCCCGCAAGTCCACGCAGAGCGCCCTCGTGAACGCAAGGAATCGACTTTCCACGCGCTGTCCGGCTTCGCGCGTCGTCGCACAATGGATCGAGTCAATTGGTGAGGTCGGACGAAATTTGGAAACTTTAAACGCTCATAACTCCTTTCACACATGACTTTGAGGTTCCAAAAGTGGTTCCGTTGGTTTTCTCGTGAAATTTTCTTCCTGGTGCACCCGTCGAAGACTAAAATGTGACGAAATAAACATCAAAATTTGCAGTTTTAGTAAAAAAAATTGTGTCCGACCTCTCTACTTGACTCGATTTACTGTGCGTCGCTGCGAATTTCGTCGTTTCTCGGACGAAGGAACGTAACTTCATTCCGAGGTTGCGAAATTGGCAGGAACAATTTAAGTTTTCTACGGAGACACGACTCTGCCATGTACCTGAAACTCTAAATAATGTGATGTTGCGCAATACCCAATGATAAACCGTTTAGTTCAATGTTGTTGGTGAAGCTAGAAGAGCACTTCTCTTTTTTGTCGCATTTTTTTTTTATGTTTTTTTATTTTTATTTGCCCAAAAGCATATGTTCTCAGCCGTATCTGCATAAATTCTATCGAGAAAAGTCTCGAAAAAAGTAAGGTACGTTACGAGGGATTCCGACCAATATTGATAATCGGCAGGTGATAATCGTCATTGAAAACAGTAGAGTGTGACAGAAAATTAGGAATCAAAAGAGGCTTTTGTTTTGTTGTTGAATTGAACGGATATTTACGCAATGCTGTTTTGAATGTGCGTTATAAATGCTAGAACAAAAGCCATCATCATATGCCTAATTGGAAAAAAACACAAAGATGAAGCATGATTATGGATCATGCTATGAATTAAAAATTGAGTTCATTCAACATATGTGTTGACATGAACTGACTCCTAATCAAAGAAGAGATCATGTTCTCGATGAGAGTGCAGTTTAGGAATTTAAAGGTAAGGGAAAGTATATCGGTATATCGATGTCGAGTATATCGACACCGTTATATCGATTAAATCCATGTGATAAGATATAGCCTCTTAGCACACGTCGACTGTTGGCGAAACGTCCCGATCGCACTGCTGATATTGAACAGCGCGCGTCACTCAGAACTGAGGAAAGCTAGCGCGCCTTCAATTGTTCATACCTGCAACCGGGACATCCACTGAGTATTAATAGTTGTATCAAGGAGCTGTGACCGATGTCGCGTCGGGTTGCGTTGAGTTAATACAGGAGGTACTTAGTTCAGAGCATACTTCATTTAGAATCATGTGTGATTTTAGAGCCGCACATGATTGTGCGTGATTTTATAGAACTCTTCAATCGAGCGAATAATTTTGGGTGCTCTCCTTGGCATTTTAGACGCAGCCTTTGAGAGAAAATAAATTTTTTTGCACTCCATGCCCCTCTCCGTATAAAAATTACATGCACCTCTCGTTGAATTATTTCTGTTATTAGTGAAGCTTATAGAGAGATTATATTAACATATTTTAATCAGGATTATGTGGAATTAAGCTGGTATGAAAGCATGAATCTATTTTTTAATATCGTCCGATTCATTGAAATGATAAGACTCTTTCTGGAAATATCTTTGTTTTCAAGAAGGTTGGACTCGCGTCCACATTTTGGTGGAATGCCTATAATTTCTGCAAAATCTTCACAAGAGCATGATTTTAGAATTTCACCGGCTACATGTCTTATACAACGTTGCTGTATTTGGTAAAAATGAGATTTTTCATTAAGAATCCTCGGTGGACGGAGGCGGATTTCCGTGTGAGGTAGTATCATCGTCAAGTTGAGCCAAAAATGCCAACTTGAAGAACTAACGAGAGCAATATATTGTATTTTTTCTAAGAATAGCAAGCAAATCAATTCTTTTTTGTGCCTTAAAGAGACTATAATTTGAACAATGGAATAGAAGCCACAAAACTCCCAAAAAAAAGAGAGACTATAATGCTTAAAATCGCATCTTAAATTGGCCATTTTGAGCCCCGCGCCTGACAGGTAGGATTTTTGAATCGCAACGTATCTCCAAAAACTACGTTTTTTTAATCTAAACATTCCAACTGCTTCACGTTTTTGAACTTTCCTATGGCTAAAATCTTTGTAAAATACGAGTCATGGCAATAGCGTCTGTAAAATCAGTTTGACGTATTTGGGATTAAAGTAACTTTTTCTAATAGACGGCCGTGAGCATTTTCCTAATTTTACGATCGAAACGTCTTAAAACTAGACTTTATTTGTCAAAATTGTGTAGGAAAATACAGGAATAGTTGGATTGCATTTTGCAAAAAGGAACCACTAGCATTGCAATGATGCTAAGATTGTGCAACTTCATCTTTTGCAATAAAATTGCGGAAATCGTGAAAAACTATGAAATTTAGATGGTAATTTTTGTCTTAAATTTACAGTTTTTAGCGAGTAAAATAGAAACTATTAATGGATAATCGGGTTTTTCCTTCAAGACAAAAGAAGTTGCACAATCTTAGCAACATTGCAATGCTAGTGGTTCCTTTTTGCAAAATGCAATCCAGTTGTCAACTGAACTCCTTTGTCATTATTTTTGAATCGGCAACAATGATTTCCCTTTTTGCAGCCGTTTACCTCCTCCTGTGGTAGTTGTAGCTTCATGCATATTCATCCAATTTTTCGGTCTCACGGTTTGCGCGTTGCGCTAAAATTTTATGTAGAGTTGGGTGAAGCCGAGTAATGAACCTGCAAGAGGTCTTGTTTTCTTAATCGCGACTGCCGAGCATTTATGTGCAGGTCTTCGGTGTTTATAGAGGAAATATTATTTTACGGCCATGCTAATAAACTAGAAAATTAGTCAGGAAAAGTTTGCATACGAGTTTGCAAGACGCTACGCCGCAATTCTATTGCCTTTAATTCTCAAATAAAACCGGTGATGTACTATGCTTCACACGTGGAAAAATGGTACGTCTTATTTTCACTAATATGTTTCATTTTGAACGAAATCATTAAATGCAAAGTTCGCTGAAAGCATGTTCTCGAGAATTTTTAAGACGCTTTTCACTTAGGATTCTTATAATTAAATTGGAAAATAGTCGAGGTTTATTTTTACACATCTAGTCGCTGGCCGGTAAAAAAAACTAAAAAAGCGTGTGTTTCGGTCGGTTTCAAAATAAAAAAAAGTCAATAGTGAAAATCGAAAACATGTATCTCAATTTGCAACTTTGCAGATTTCCCATTTTACTTACTTTTTTAATACGAAACCGGGAAATACTTTTTATTTAATTTTCACGGATTTTTTTTCCATCCCGCGCATGTGGCAATTTCGAACAATGAGATTCATTCATCGGTGAAAAAACAAATCAACACCACTGACTTTGGAACGTCACAGTTGCAATACGTGTTTTAAAACTTTACGCATCGAGATGTTTGCAGTCCGAAACCATTGCAACCGTGTCTCCTTTTCAAGACTCCCGACGTCAATAGAATCAGTGCGCACGGAAGGAATTAATTTTCCTTCGCCCATCCCCAAATTTACGCAAAAACTTTCGCGCGCAGGGATTAGCGACTCAACTTTCAGGAGAATTCAGCGGCGATTTTGAAACACTTTAATGGAAGTACAAGGTTTTTTTTGTCTCACCGTCCATTTGCTTTTACTGAAAAATTAACTTACCTAGGAGGTTGAACAATCGGCTGGCTGGGCGGCAGGGGTGGTGGCGGTGGGGGTGGCGGCGGGGNGACACGGGGGGCACGGGGTGCAGGACTCGAGTCTGACACCACCACCCCCCGCACTCCCCCCTCCGTGGAGGTACTCGGAGCTGTAACTCATGAAGTGAGGCTTTCTCTTGGATCGACGGGGATAACTGTCGTAGCCACTTCCCGAGAAGTCCTCCGAACAGACAGAATGCACCGGCCGTTCCTGGAAAATGCCAAAGTCTTCGGTTAGATTTTCCACGAAAATTGTCACTCTTCTGCAAACGGGCACGAGGCATGATAAACCCTCGTAAAATTTGAGATTCAGCAATAGGTCAGTTGCGCTGGCCACAGAATCGTGTTTTGATGCTGGATTGTTGTGTATTAGCCGAAAATAATAAGATCTGTCCTAACAGCAACTTTCTACGTTCAATATTAACCCAATGGAGAATTTGTGTGCAAATTTTTTATTGCTTCATCTGAAAGTGCTGAAAGAGCGGATTTCACAGTAGTTTTTATAATTTTTCTCTGACATGGGAAATTGGAGAAAAATTGAGTTAAAAGTGAGAGAATGTGCCGCCTAATGACGTCATCTGGCGGCATTCCCCATTTAAACACATGTATTTTAGCAAATTAGGTTATTTTGTCATATCTTCTCCAATAATTGTTCAATTCATGAACCAAGGGTATCCTCGTGTTCAGTTCACTCCACTTAACTACTAAATTCATCAAATTTCAGACACCTGCAAATTCTCTATTATTGCCCTTTGAAAATTCAGGTTTTTGACGTCATCCACCTCGGTGGGGACACCCTTGGTTTTTTCCACCCTGCTTTAATCCGATTTTCACGTTTAATAACCAGTGCTAATGTGCGTCACACCAACTGATGGAAGCAACATGGAAGAAACCAAGGGTATCACTACCGCGACGGGGTTACGTTGAAAACCCAACTTCTCAAAGGGCGATGATTGACAAACTCGGCTAATATTGAGCGGAGAAAGTTGCTGTTTGGACAGATCTTATGATTTTTAGCTAATTTATACGAATCAATCATCGAAACACAATTATGTTACCAGTGCAACTGACCCATTATTATTCTCTATGAAGCAGCAGGTAAGGAATCATCCTCAGGAAAAGGACCTTAATCTTGCTGAACAAGACAAAGGTACGAACCATTTTTTTGGAAAGAGAAAAAAAAAAAAAAAAAAAAAAAAAAAAAAAAAAAAATCTATCTTCAGCGCTGAATTCGTAGATGGCATCCGTTTTATTTCATCAAGTGCAGATAATCCGGAAAATCTATATCTTTGAGGAAAAAACGGAATTTTCCGGGGAAATGAAGTTTTTAAGAGAGCGGTGAATGGTAGGAAAAGACGGAGGTAATTTTCGGATTCGGCGGCGAAACATACATTGGAAATACACCGATAGTCTTTTGAGAACATTTCTCATTTTAACTGATACAAATTTTTTCCCGATCAAACAATAGATTCGTCCATAAACTTAAACCCATCGTCCCTCCATTAGTATAATTATTATGGAAATAATAGATGGCATTTTCAGATTTAGCTAAAAATCCAATAACAGGAAACGGTTTCTTTGATTCTTGCGTTCTTTGGGTTGTAGATTTGTGTAAAAAAAAATTGAGATATAAATGTCACCACACACAAAAATGATTAACAAACAAAACACGGCGGGAAAAACAACCACAAGCAAACAAATCAGGAGTTCCTACAGTTTGAACTTTACATTTCAAATGTCATAGCTCTGAGAAAAAGCTTTTTGAAGTTTTACCTACCATAATTGGATTTTGCACCCTCTATTGGCAGAAAAACGAACTGAATTGAACTTAAGTTATTTCTATGAGGTTCAAAAGAATGCACTCATCGAAAACTCAAATGCCGATTTATCCGCCCGACTTGTCAAAAGCCCTTCTTCTGAAAAATTCATTTCCGTGCCTAACCGTCTCCCTCCTCGTGCAAAAGGTCAAAAATTGTCAGCATGGTTGAATTCAGCAAAGAATGTATTTTTTAGAGACATATTTCATCGCGAGCTCAAGACAATGCGAATCGGCAACTCTGCTTACAAATTCAAAATTAAAGCTCTCATCAATTATTTATCAGGGTTGTTGTTTTTTCAGCTTTTCTAGGGCCAACCAAGGGAGGGCTGCGTTCATTACTCACGAAGAGACTGCACGTCAAGAGATTTCTCGGAGGTCTTGAGCTCCCTCGGTTAGCGCTCTTTTTCTCATAACCGCGAGGGCTCCTTCTTTAAAAGACCCTCATATTCTTATTACACTTAAAACAAATGTTGCTCTTTTGATATCTGTAAAAACGATGCGGCGAGATGCGCGCGGCTGGCAAAATATTATTACGTTTCCTTTTTGCTTTCGCGCTCGTCTTGCGGGAGAAGGAAATCATGCCGTCCCCCTTCCTTTCATAAAAAAAACCCCTAAAATTTCACTATGGCTCTGATATCCCTAGTTTTTAAAGCGCTCGATTGTTTTACAAAGTGATTCAAAAAAATAGTCTATTCGAAGTTAAAATTCAATAAAAGATTTTCAGGGAACATATTTTAACAATTAATGCTGTTCCTTCTTTTCGCTAATCGATTTTTTAGGGTTACAGAATTTCGTTGATTCAAGAATAATAATTGTACTTCAAGGTTTTTGGACGAATCGGTGATAATTTCCAATTTGTATTTAGCAGTGGTAATTAATTTCACGTCAGCTCTTATTTCATCGGTTAAGTTATCTATGACATCGTCGATTATATTGGTGGGTGCTTGTCATTGGCGAAGCCACTGATTCGTCAAAGACGGAGCATGTGTTCATGGGTCAGAATCAACTGGTTTGAGCTTGGTAGCAAAAAGCTTACGTTTTTTTCAGATTTTTACTTTGACTTTTGCAGTAATGAAGATATTTCATCCTTATACTACCGTCAGACATCGCACTTTATTTCGAGAAATAACATAGACACCGAGAGAAAAAATAGAGCAATAAAAATCCTCAAGAAAATACAAGAGAAGGAGTCAAATTAAAACTAATATCCATCAAGTTTCATTCAGGTTCGTTTAGAAAGTACCGGAGCCGCTATTTATTCTGCGAGTGACTGTCATACTCTGCGAATTTGTTCCGAGCCATCGTTATACTCCTTTCACCTGAAATGCTCCAGAAATTATCCCTTCTGTGACAAAATTAAATTTTAACTAGAACGTTTTACATCATTCTCCACTCTCGTTAATCATGAAAACTTGCCTCCGCCCTCAATGCCTCACGCTTTCGCCCGTCCCCACTCTTCCTTCTCATCCCCATCCATCGCTTCCGATTCCCCCCATCCCCAACCCCTACCCCCCGCCCCCCGCCACGTCACCACTCCGGTTGCTCCTGATAACTCGAGTATTCCGGGCCACAACAGCTGGAGCTGGAAGTTCTCCAGGAGACGCTTCCAGAGAGGGGAAGGGCGGGGAAGGGGGGTGAATAAACAAAGCAAATATTAATCGAGACAACAAGCCCCAGAAGCGTATTTGCGAGGTATTTGTCATGAACCATCCCGTTTGTAGAGAGATGAATTGACTTTCTTTAAGCGGAATTGCTACATCTACCCCGGAGATTGGCTGCAAAATGTCTCGATTGAGGGAAGAATCCTCGAGGTTGCGCAGATATTGGCACGTTGAATAATATGAGACGACGGCTTTTGGCAGATATTATATAGGGCTGTCTTTCCAGATCATGCATCGATATTCGTGCGGTTGAAAACGTAAACCGACCATCCCTGTCCTTTGAACTTTAGGTGCGCTTGCGCATATTTACTCTTGATGATTATGATATATTCATGTATCATGATTATATTAATATAATCATTTGATTTAAGCGTTTTGTATTTTCTTTCATTAAATATTTGAGCAATTAAAATTAAAATTGTATTGAAATTTCTGTATTTTTATATTTTTTGTGTAAAAATCTGTAAAATTATCTTACATAAAATTAGTAGGCTTTCATTTTCATTTTTTTCATTTTTCAGAAATTATCATGCGGAAAAAAAGATTGCTCCTGAAACTACTCTGAAAAACTTAAAGATCTGAAGTAAATCAATTTTTGTTATTATTTTATTTATTGTCTTTATTCTTTATTTATTGATTGATTTACTTTTAAACCAAGTTTATTTGGTCAGTTTAGGCAAGTGAAGTTTCACTTGACCAAAGCCTCTATCAATCAGAATTGACGTTAGATTTTACATAACGAAGACATTTACGACAAATTTTGAATTAAATTTGTAATTATACTCTGGTTGCTGAAATAGTTGACTACTGAGACCAAGTTTTCACCGATTTCGAAAGTAAAACTTCCAGTTACAAGGGCCTCTCTAAAGAGACAATCAGATGATCGAAGCCGAATTGTGTTGCGAATAAGCGGAACTTCCATTCAGTCGCGGCTCAATATCCATCCTGATCCTTCAATTTTCCAGGTATACTATGAAATAACTTATACGCATCAGTGCACTTAGAAGCGAATAATTCCAAGGAATGTATGAATCTCCCGGAAAATATGTATTTATAAAATATTGACTGTGGAGAATTCTCCGTTGCGCAATGTGCATCGCCTGAATAACGCAAGCCAACAATAGTCACGCCGTTCTTAGAGATTTCAATGCTTACTCCCTATTTCCATGGATTTGAATGTCTTCTCGATTTTTATGATCGCAACATAATAAAACAGCTCATTCAAGCCAATTTAATATCATCCATACGACAAAAACTGGATGAGCCCTGGATGAGCTTGAACGATCCATTTTCTCTAAGGTCTGAGGATCTAAGGTGAGCTCAGTTCATATAACTCAAATTATTCTGAGAGTAAGATATGTGCGTCTTTGGTCCTTTTATTTAGACAACAATTGAGGGGCTCGGAGGACAAGGCGCATAAGTGCAGTTTTCGCTACTCCTTGGATCCTTATGGCAGAAAGAAAGTTCAAACTGACTTTTTGATGCTTAAAAATTGGAACTTTGGATCAAATTCTTCACAGAAAATGCATTAAGACTAGTTTTACTTGAAATCATTTGCATATGAATTTTTTTAAAAACTACACTTTTGCATCCGCCTGCACCACGTCCTCTAAGACCCTCGACTGTGATCCCTTGGCGAACGGAACGGAGCATTAATCGATTAATTACAAAATCAATTTTCCTTTCTCCGACTTAAGAGTCTGGGAGCCTTTGCAGGAAAAGGCAAATTGACTCGGGCACAATTTTGAGATTATCTTACCGAAGAGTTGGTTGAAACACAATATCAAAGACGCAATTAGTTACGAACTTGTTTTGAAAAACTCCTTATATTTTCGGGAGGAGACCGAGTAGATCCCTGAAGTGGACTGCATTTTTCAATTTGGAACTATATCTGGCTCTATGAAAAAACGAAGTGTTGACGTTATTTCATGTTTTATTTTTCGGCCTTAGTCCCATTTTAAGTTGAGTTTGTTTCAGAAACGACGTATGTACCATTAGTTTCCCTATCCACACGAGTGCGTTTACGGGTGGGCTAGAAATTGGACCACGTTTAACAGAAAGGAACTAAGCCATATCAGCTATTGCCAAATTTAACCGGACAGTTTCATTTTTTACGAGAGAACGTCTGTGCGAATTCCTTTGAAAATTTTAAGGAATTTCCCTCGTACGATGCAAAAAATTTACTTACATTTTCACAGAAATCCGCACAACCGTTTTCATGTTAAAAATTGAATTTCCCTATAAAATTTGGTAAAAGCTAATATGGCCTTTCTGCTTAACGTGGTCCAATTGTAGTTCTTAATTGCAAAATGTAGTCCAATTGGTTCAGGGGTCGAACCCCCCGGCTTTCCCTCGATTCCGCCAAAGTAAGTGCATCGTAGTGTGTTTATATTTGTTTTATACAATGAGTGGATTGAGCTAAACACTGAAAAAAAATTCTCGGCGTTTTTACCAAGGTCCGTTGGTACCTTTTTCATCTCACTTTTTTTTTACCAATTATTGGTAATTTTACCAAGACAGACTGGTAAGCTTACCTAAAAACCGGTATTTTTACTGTTTTTTTTTCAGGTAAGCATACCACTTTTGTTGGTAATCAATTCCCGGTAACTTCGCCATTTTATCTCGGTAATTCTACCACAGTCGATAAAAAATATTTTAATTATAATTATAATTTTTACCAGAGTCCAGTAAAATTACCGAGAAAGTCAATAATTTTACCGAGATTTCTCGGTAAAATTACCAATTCCATAAATGGTAATTGTACCAAGAAAAAACTGGGATCAAATGGAACCCTGAATTCTTAGTAATTTTACCCTTTTCTTAGTAAATACACCGAGATTTTTTCTTCGCAGTGAAGGATTGATGGAAGGAGTACTCACCATTCGAATGATTTCCTCGTCAGTGACCCAGTAGTAGTTGGGGTCGGAATACAGCGATGGTGGTTTGTGAGCGAAGAAGGTGCAGTCTTGAAATGGGGGGTAGTGGTAGTGGGGGTAGGGGGGCAGGTGCACGAACCTGCGGGGCCAGCGCGGGATCGGCGGCTGACGGCACAGGTCGTGCAAGTTCTCGTCGCTGGGCACGCGTCGTCGAACGCAGACGGACAGCAAACTCGGACTCCTCGTTCGACAAGACGAGTCCTGAAAACCAAACAATTTTATATTTTTACAAGGTAGAGAAATTGGACCCGGGAGGTTTTAGAGGCAACAGAGATGGACAATTTTCCCGCAAAAAAAGGCAATTTCCCCTAGATTTGCCTCCACATTATCTCAGTAAGGTCAAAATTAGTTTAACATTACGTTGGCAAGTCCCCAAATTTCGGGAAAAGTTAAAAAAAACGAAATTTAAGGTGATTAAATTTCACCGTTTAAATTTCGTTTTAAAAAAAAACGTTTAAAAAAACGAAATTTAAACGGTCAAATTTAATCACCTTAAATTTCGTTTTTTTTAACTTTTCCCGAAATTTGGGGACTTGCCAACGTAATGTTAAACTAATTTTGACCTTACTGAGATAATGTGGAGGCATATCTAGGGGAAATTGCCTTTTTTTGCGGGAAAATTGAATGACCTTTGATTTGACGTATTTGGGGGTCCGAGCCCCCCCTTAAAATTACAGCGATGTGATTTCTGCAATTTTTACTCAAAAGCGGACACAATTTGGTAGATTTTCCCGTTTTATTTTTTTCTTTACGATAATTTGAACCGGAGTTATGGTTTTTTGAAAATAGGTCAAATTTGACCTTTGACGTTTCATAACTCGGTCAAAAATTAAGATATTGATCTGCAGTTTGCGCCAAAATTCTTAGTTTTTTATGCTCTTTTGAATGATGTATCACAAGGTAGGGGTTGCTATTTGAAAAAAAAAAAGTTGGGGGCCCCCCTCGCCCCCCCTGAGGGGGGACCAAAATTTTGACCCCCCCAAAAGATGGTCCCCTTTGAGATAGGAACATTCCCAAAATTTCATTACCCTAGCTCAATTCGTTCAAAAGTTAGCAGGGGTGGGACGGACTTTTGGTGCACCCATGTATGTATGTATGTATGTAGAGAAATGGTGCTGGGTCCACACCATTTCGCGGGGAACATAAAGCCAAGAAATTCCAAAAATTTCAACAATTTCAAAAATTCCAAAAATTTCTACGAGAACCGAAATGCTCGATTGAGCCAGTGCGCCATAGCGTGGCGTGCTTTGCGATATATCGATTGATCGGCCATTTAAACCTATGGAAAAGTATCGATAAACAGGGTGTTCGCTGCAAACGCCTTAATAATCGGACGTATTTCTGTCAAACGGAACTAAGCGCCATCGGAGGAGGGAGGTAGAGAGGGGCTTGGATTGGCGGCAGAATCGGGCGTCGGGCTCATTCCGTCCTATACTCGCAATGCTTTTCCACGGCGCTTAGTTCCGTTTGACAGAACGCGCTACCCGGCATTCTAAATTCTTCAAAAGGAACTCAATTTGGCGCTTAGTTCCGATTGACAGAAATACGTCTAATCGATTATTTACCACAGCTTCAAATAGGGAAATATCAATAGATCACAAATCACGCCACGCCACTAGATTGAGTGGTCTGCTCAAGCCGTTGTAGTGCGCGATTTGACTCGTGTAGGGTATTGTATTTCTTGTGAACAGACAATTCCAATTTCCCTCAACCTTTGTACAATAAAAACAATAATATCTTAGTTAGGAGTTGATTTCAGTAGTTTTCGGTGCGCAAATCGTGTTTTACGTAAAATTATAAGTGAAGAATCATGTATCAGAGTGATTTAATTCGTACCTTGTTCAATGGTCCATTCAATCTAAAAAAGCAATCATAAAGAACGTTCCTAACTTTTCCCGGAAAAAATATTTTCTCGGGAAATGCAAGGCAACATCGGAATGCTCATACGGCGTTGTTATAAAACATGCGTGCCTTTTAAGCCCCACTATTCGATGTCACGATTATTCCAATGCGAGTTCGAATAATCGCGCCAGCGGCCAGCGTTAAACGCATATTAGCGCCTGCAAGACTGGGGGAATACTTCACGCATTGCGCCAAACAGTGCGATCAGCGTGACGCGTTTTAGCGCCTTCAAGACGGAAGGAATACTTAACGCATTGCGCGCACACCACGGTGCGCATTTTAGTCGTTATAATTTCTCGGTGTCAGACCCACTACTTGCGGTGCGGTGAATATTTTTTTTGAGCTCTAGTGAGAATAAGAGCTATTCACAAGAATAGTCTTATGAGATCAGTAAACAGCGAACTGATTTAGACAGAACGCAAATCAAGTAAAATTTGAGGATTATCTGATTTAGTTGAAGAAATTTTCTACCTTATCTGAAGTGACCAAGACTCAAAATTAAAGATAATTTCTTCACGAATAGCCAGGATGGATTTGGAAAAGATGATCGAATGAACAAATGATGAAATATCATTCAACTTGTTGCTCGGAAAACGATCACCGTTAATTTGAGATCAACACTTTAAAAATCCCATATTTATGAAGAAAATTCGATTCGATGCTCAGAGAGAGGTTAATTTTCCAAATACAGCTTCTTGGATCGAGCATCTTGTACTCTGTTTGATGATAGGGCAACTTGAAACACGTAGAATCCTCGTTCCTGTGGAAATTACGGAGCGTTTTACGGCAAAACACAACTTTGGTCGTTTCGACCACTCACTAAAATTACTTTCTTACTTGAGAGATGAGACTCCTTACTCTTTTTTCACAGACCCTGTCTTTTTTAAAATAAAGTTTGACATCAAAAGCTCTTTCGTAAGCCTTCGTCGAAGCACACGCACACCTGTGAATTGAGTAAATTGTGTCACGTGTATGAAAAAGTAGATGGATCTTTCTGCCTCGTTTTAGTCTAGGAGTGTTATTGCATCATATTCTGCATCAAAGCACTTGCAGTACTTTGGCAAAGCACGTACTTTTAGAAGTATTATAATATGGGAATATACTGATTTTCTGTCTTATTTATCCATCTGTCGCAAGCAAATAGTCAAAGCAGGCATTTCATCAAATGCCTATAGACAGATAGTCAAATGATGGTTTACAAAGTCTTGAATGTTTTTGACGAGAAACTATTAAGTTTCCATTGTTTTGAAAGTAATAATTTATCAAAACTACCTACTTATCTTGTATTTTTCCCTCCAAATGTTCCTCATATATTTTAACTTTCAGAATTTTAAAAAGTCGATATTATATGACATGCTGAAAATTCCGAAATGGAAGCTCATTTAAGGACTATAGATTTAATTTATTTACAATCGTATGATGCCAATTTTTACAGAAACCCCTCATCAACATGAGAGAATAATTATTTTGTCTAAAATTAGCAAGAGAATCAGAATTTCAATCCAAGTAAGATTATTTGACTATTTGCCTCGGCATTTGACAAAATGCCTGATTTGACTAACTGCCTACGACATATCCATTACACTCTTTTAGCAGAGGGCTTAAGTAGCCCTCAGTTGTAGCGTAACTGGCTTTTTTCATTGTTATTGAAAATAAATTTTCTTTCCAGCTCAGCAAGTGCATAATTTTGATTAAAGAAGAAATTGCAGAGTTCGATGCAGGGAAAACAAGTTTAGATGAGCGGGCGGTAGAAAAGGTTCAACTTTTAGACAAACTGCAAAAGGGATATAAAAATAGGAGCAAAGAGATTGAAAGGGGTGAGCAAATATTTTCGGAGGCGCAGTGGTCTGTACAAACAAACACTGGCAAAACTGTTGTTGAAGCTAGCTCTCTTGTTTTTGGTTCAAAGACGCAACGATATTTGCAGACTGCAAGTCACCGGAGCCAATTTACTCTCAGTAGGTGTACGTTTCCCGTTTGTGAGAAGGAGTATTGTCTTAAAATGCTGCGCTATTCATGATATCCTGAAATTGGTTTTGGATGTCGAAGACTACTTCGTCACCGAGTTCTTTTTCACGGAGTCCCTGGCGTGGACGATGGTTTGGCCAGAGAAAAAGGCGACCGTTGCCAGATTTTCTCCAGTAGAATATTTAATTCTGGCTATGGTTATGAATATTTGTCTGCGACATTTTCGGATACCTTAGTTAAGATTATAAAATTAGAGAAAACATGAATAAAAAAATATTTCAAACACTAAAATTTTCTAATTTTTAAAAATAAGATAATAGAACTGAATCCATAAATGTAAAGATGTTGAGTATTATAAATCTCAAAACATTTTCAAAATGATTGAATGAGGCTAGGCCACGATTGAAAATATTTATTCACAATGCATTTATTACACTGTAACATCACTATCACTATCACCAATATTATCATTAAGAAACAAAACAGTGATAAACATTTTCAACCGCGGTCAGGTTTCAATCATTTATGATAAAATCCTGAGCAAACCACACATTATACGGCTCTGTACATATCAAAAGGTTTGTTGATCAACTTACATTTCATTATGAAAAAACATATTTGTGTTAAACTATTGATACTCGTTAAATTATTAATTAAAATACAAAATTTGTCAGATTCGATTGCAAAGAAAGTCCTCTGCAAAATTGAAAGAAAAATATTCAACAGCTCGTGTCAATTCGTATTATATCAAAAGAAATTTTGCAATGTCCAAAGGTTCATATTATATGTTTCTTAACACGGCATCGTATCATAATTTGACCGTGTTAAGCAGAAAGGAACCAAGCCACATCAGCTATTGCCAAACTTAATTAGGCAATTTACTTTCGTGTATGAAAACGGTTGTGCGGATTTTCGTGCAAACAGTGAATTGTTTTCAAAGTACAAAGCAAATTCCTCAAAATTGTCAAAGGAATTCGCATAAACGTTCTATTGTAAAAAATTGAATTGCCCAGTTAAATTCATCAAAAGCTGACGCTTGGTTCCTTTCTGTTGAGCGCGGTCCAATTAACTTGTAACGACCGCATGCATGCGACTTATCGTGTGCCAAAGGAATCCGCTTTGAGTGTTGCATATACAAAGAATTGAAGGCAGTTTGGCTTTCTCTCGCATGACCATGCCGTGTCTGCCCTTGTGGCTAATATCTCGGAAGCAAAGAGTGGTAAGACAAACCTGGTAACTAGAAAGGCAACCGAAGAAGCTGGAAGACTCGTGAACATGCTCGAGGACAGAGAGTTGCTTATCGTTGATGCAGTACTGTTCTTTGATGTCCTCTTTTGAGTAGGTTGAGGTGTCGATTTTGTTCCTTCGACTGAAGTAGTTTCGACGACTCGAGCCCTCGTCCTCAGATTCGTACGTGACTGGCTCATAACCGCAAATGTCCGCCTGAAAGACCGCAATTCACTTATTTACATACTACACTCAAGAATAAGTCTCTTGCAAACTTTTGCCACAACGAATGGGAGAGCTACGTGCCCCTTGTACGTGCTTGGGACGGTAATCGTTGGACAAGCAGGGTTCATGTCCTAATCAAAGGAGGAAGAGGAGGAGGAGGAGGAGGAGGAGGATGATGAGGAGGAGGAGAAGGATTAGAAGAAGGAGGGGGAGAAGGAGGAGGAGAAGGAGGAGGAGAAGGAGGAGGAATAGAAGGAGGAGTAGAAGGAGGAGTAGAAGGAGGAGTAGAAGGAGGAGGAGGAGAAGGAATAGAAGGAGGAGGAGGAGGAGAAGGAGGAGGAGGNAAGGAGGAGGAGAAGGAGGAGGAGAAGGAGGAGGAGAAGGAGGAGGAGAAGGAGGAGGAGAAGGAGGAGGATTGGAAGGAAGAGGAGGAAGAGGAGAAGGAAGAGGAGGAAGAAAAAGAAGAAGAGAAAAGATTTTTCACCCTGAGAATGACTTTAAAATCACGATAAATGCATCGAGAGGGTACAAATTCTCTTTTGGGCACACTGGAAAAAGGTACGGGCTACGTAGAAGTACCGTCCGTTCCAGGCGCAGAGACTGAAAGCTCCGGGTGCTGGACCTGCCTGAACTTCGATTTCTCCGGGCGGTACGCCCAGAACTTTTGGTCTCTGGGCCAGGAACCCGGGCGATATCTATACTATAAGCTCCAAGACCTCCTAATTTTGCGAAATTGGTGACGCTTAGTTCCAGCGTTCTACCGGGCCGATTTTCATGATTTTTGCGGCTATCGACGGGCAATTGTCTCTAGATAAGCCAACTCCTTTCAGATTTTCAAAATATGGCCCAGGTTTTTTTATATTACGTGGTAAAGTTGCGAATTCTCCCATTTAAACAATGTAAATTTATACTTCTTGTCATAGTTCGTTTGAGCGTTCTACCGGGCCGATTTCCATGATTTTTGCGTAAATCGACAGGTAATAGGCCCTAGATGAGCCCGCTGTAATCAGATTTTGGAAAAAGGACCCAGGTTTTTTTAAAATCACGTTATAAAAGTGAGTGAGTTTACAGAATGCTCCGATACTGCTACCGCTATGCGCGGGAGGATGCGCAGTGGTTGAGGAGGTTGCGCAGTAGCTGTGTAGCCTGCGCATCAGCTCTACACTTATCTACACAAGATTTGCGCCAGAAATCACATGCAGAGCGGTGGCCGAGTCGTCCAAGACGTCGAATGCGGCCACTATGAACTCGGTGTAGGTTCGATCCCCGACTCATGACGTCCTAATTATTACCTCCCTATCATTATTCATTGTTTTACTGCAATATTTCATCAAGCAGTCATTCCAAAATGCGTCCTTTTAATTTTAAAGTAATTTTAAGTATATATATATATATATAAAGTCGCTTTATAACGCACTCTGGCGTTCTACGACACCCAAACGCCACATATGCCTGTCTTCCCAGAGGTTATTTTAAGTAAAGTTTAAAATTAAAGTATACCTCATATCGTAATTTTTTATGGGAAAAATAAAACGAACACTGATAGAAGGGTAAAAATAGGGCCGCGAAGCGGCCCATTGATGGCGCGGAGCGCCTTCGGGGGGTTGGGCNTAGTTCTGTCTGATGACGGATTAACTAGCTACACGTAATCTGCCGTGCTGAGGAAGAACGCCGTGTGTGCCTTCAGACGTTGCCATATTTCCTTCAATAAAATCCTAATTTACTGGGGAAATAGTGTGTATTTTACTTCAAATTTTGAGACACTTGTTTCCGCAATACATATGGTATAAAATATCTAAAAATTTCAAGGACAAAAATACACATCATTCCTTAAAACACGGACATTACTCGAGCACGAATAGTTGCATCCAGGCGTTGGCATTCACAAAAGCCGAGGCGCCTTCAATTTTTCGAATGCAACGCGGACATCCCTCGAACACGAATAGTTGCATCCAGGCGTTGGCATTCACAAAAGCCGAGGCGCCCTCAATTTTTCGAATGCAACGCGGACATCCCTCGAACACGAATAATGCTCCAGGCGTTGGCATCAACGTCGCCACCAGTTCGGTGTTATAACGAAGCAAACCTTAATGAAAATTATATTAAAGGCACACAGACAGGGTCAAACATCCAACATTATCAACACTGTTATGTTTTCTCTCATCTCGCACCGACAACACGGCGACCACATTGAAAACCAATTTTAAGTCGCACGAAAGAAATCAGTGTTCTCTGCTAAGGAAGTCGATTTAAGCTTCCCATTTGCGAAATTAACCTACGTCTATTGGCACCAAAGTGGACACTAAATTCGTTTCAAATTTTTTGCCCTCACCCCCCCCCCCCAAAAAAAAACGATGAAATAATTTTTCCTTTGTGCTAAGTCTTAGAGAATGTCTAGCTGTTCGCTTAAGCATTTGACGAAATGCTTATCTTACTATTCGCCTGCGACCTTTATATCCCAACGCGAGCCTTTTAAGATTATAACCAACTCCCCTGGATAGTCATATCTGTGTGTACTTTTTTCTCTCTGAAAATAAATAATATTACAAGTTGGTGAGTGTGGCAACTAGAAATCAGTGGCAACCTTGCCCTTGTACCTTGTAACTGCAGCCATCAGTCAATTGATAACGGTGCCGAGTGTCACGGGCCTCCATTACTGTCTATGCACGAATATTAAGCGGTTTATTTACTAATTCCCCTTTATTTGCGTTCGAATTGAGCAGCCGGCACCTCAGCTCAACAGCACCAATGCGAGCCCAAATATTTCGTCAACTCCACGCGAAAGTCTGCAGGTGGCCCGGTAACTTTTTGCATTTGAGGTCAAACCAACGGTGAAACTACCCAAAAAAACTCGCAACTATCTCGCTTTAATACGTTGTGAATCCTCCGTTTCCTGTTATTCTTTCAAAGAACGAATCGTCGGTAGTATATCTTCAAAATTTCAGGCGGTTCACTTATTCTGCCGTGCTGAGGAAAAACACCGTATACACACTCGAGAGTTGCCATATTTCCCTCGATAAAACCTGTATTTTTGACCACATTCATGCATATTTTCCGTCGAAATTTTCAGATATTTGAGATTAAATTGCGTACAAAATTGTCTGAAAATTTTAAGAAAATTATATTCGCAATTTTCCCAGTAAATTCGGTTTTTATCGGAGGGGATTCGGCAACGTTTGAAGCATTGGCGAATCCAGCAAATTGGCAACATCGTCTTTTCTCCATTTAAACCTACGGAGATGTATCGATTCTTGGAGGGGCCAGGTTCCCCGACGAGAATCGATTATTTAGCATAGGTTTAAATGGAGGTTTAAATCTGGTGTTGCCAAATTTCTGAATCCGCCTCTGGTTTGAAGGCTCACACGGCGTTCTTCCTTAGCACGGCAGTATTGCTCATTGTATCAATGGCTAATCCCGGGAAATACATATTCCCATTGCAACGTTTAAAAATATCAGGTTGAAATCCAATTTTAACGAAGTAAAATAACCAAGACGCTCGTCAAACCTCTTCTTATCGTTAGTTCCACCCGATTCTCATAGTCAGCTTCTCTGCTATCGGTCGTTAAAATCTCCACATCCACCGATGTCTCCAAGTGATGAGACACAGATCTCTTCAACCACTGCCTCGCGTGACGTAAAAATTTCTTGTCCAATCAGAGGCCTCTTTTCGCCCCTTTGCCATGGTATCATCACCATCATCGGCGGTTCCAGACCTTCATTCTTGGGGGTGCCAAGAGGTGGAAAATGTCGGAGACCGGCTCCAAAGGGGACGGTCGCTCAGGGGAGGCCTAAGTTTGGGCCCTCAAGTTTTATCCCTTCCCTACCCTCCTTTCTCTTTTTATCTCCTTCCTCTCCACTTAAATACCTGTTTATTCAATTTAGAAAATTTTTAGCAAAACTTTCCATCAAAACTACAATCTTACCATAAAAAACAGTGGAATCTTTGTGAAACACGGCTATCAATTTTAATTCTGTTTAAAACATTTTCAATTAATTGCTGGGATTTTGTCTCAGTGTGAGCGAAAACAGAATCTTTAAAATCAGTTATTTCACGGTTCCGATAACCGCACTTAATTTTTGCTTGGGGTGCCTGGCACCCACTAGCACCCCCGTAGAACCGCCTATGATCACCTTCACTATAAGTAGGAACACCAAAGCATTGAGATGTCTATTTCTATACATTAAAAATCATGGATATCATTTCGCGTGCTAGTATCGTGCTGATCATCAATTTTAAATGTTTTCAATGCATAATGTATGGTTTTTTAGATTTTTAGTATATTTTATATTAAGTTTTTTATAAATAACATCTAAAAGCAAACTCTTGATTTTCATATTCAGTTCACCAATGTGATTTTACCTCGCTCTCTTGTTCCCAGTGTGCAAGACTCGAGGCAGATAGAGATGCTTCCTTCTAACCTCTTAATTTGTCTTGGTTACAGGGTCCAAAATTGCGAATACGATAGAATAAAAAAGTTAAAAATGGGTGAAACAAGGCTACAACATTAAAACTTTAAAAAGCTAGGACGTTTCGAGCCGTCACAGACTTATTTTCAGCCGCAAAAAACAATGGAAATGAATAAAATGTTGAGTGGAAAGCTGGTTTTGGACGTTGTCATGCAATGGTTGCGTGATAACGTCCTGCGTTTTTCGTGTTTTAATATTTTAACTTTGTTTTACCCTTTTTTTTCACGATTTCATTTCATCGTATTTGCGCTTACGCTACATAGTACCAGCGAATAATTTCAATTTATTAAATAATAATTTTTTGAAATTAGGAATGATTTTTGAAAGCACTGACATTTAAAACACCGTAAAAACTGTAACTCATGCACACACATATACCCCTTTCAATCAACATTCTCGGGAAACTCCTTGTCATTTACAAGTATAAACTGATAACAGGTCTTGAATTTAAAATCGAGCGACATTCTGTCTCAAAATGTTTAGAATTGTGTACATGGAAAAAATTAAATTGCTGATTTATCAATTCAATTGCTAAA